CGGGGGGTGCCTGCCCCCTTCGCCTCTCTCACTGCCGTCGCGAGCGGCCTCAGGAGCGAGCCGAAGGAAGGAGGCCCGCTGTGGAAAAGGCGTCGAGTACAACGCGTCCCGCGGGTCCTTCAACTTCGTCAATCGGCCCTCGTCCGACGACTGCTGCGGCTACGCGGACACGACAAAGACAAAGGCGAGGCGAGGCGAGGCTAGACGAGGCGAGGGAGAGAGAGCAGCCGCGACGCTGGATAAATTATTAAACGCAGCCGAGACACACACGCGCTAAACTCACTCACGATGACTAAACCCCGCGACGTTAAGGCGAGACGTTATCCGTCCCAGGGCTCGCTGCTCCACTTACTGTTATCTTATATGGTAGTACTTAGGGTGCATTACCCGAATGCGAGAAGGTACCGAGCCCCGAAATTTCTATTAGTTCGAGCAAGAGAGGAGGAAGGAAACCACTTCACGAAATGGGACCCTTAACTCGCCGAGAGGGAGCGACGCGAAAGAATCCCGGGACAACTTCCTGCGGCTCGATATATACGCCGAGCCCTTCGATGTTACCAAGACGCTCTCGTATCTCTGTGTCCCTTTCGAGAGAGAGAGAGAGAGAGAGAGAGAGAGAGAGAGAGAGAGGGAGGGAGAGAGAGAGAGAGAGAGAGAGAGAGAGAAAGAGAGAGAATTCCCGCACCCCCGACTCTCTTACTAAAACATATCCCCGTTCTTGTAATATCGCTACGTCCTACAAGTATCGCCGGTGCTGCCTAGAACGTGCATTACGCTCTATCTCGGCGAAATGTTTGTCACGCGCGCGCCGAGTCGTTGCTTATTCAGGTATAAAGCTAGCTGAGTCAAATTATCGTTACAATTTTATATACGATAATTGCAAATGTTGCATATTACCCGATAGCGCGCGAGAATGGTGAAGTGTAAACAGAATTATACTGAAAAAGGTATCAGCTGATAATAAAAACGTACACCTCGGCCAAAGGGATATATGTCGCTTCGCTGGTGACTATTCGCAATTATTATCTGTGTTTACGCACATCAATGGGAGAGACCAAGGTCAGAAAGAAAAGAAAGTCTCGAAGAAGAAATATCTTGCTCTCGCGCTCCCGTCTTTTCCCGTCGCGTTCCCAGCTTGACTGAAGGATTCACACGGATGTTTGGCCAACGTCTTCCGTAACGGTAGTCGTTCCGAGACTTCGAAAGACAACTCTGGGATAGAACGAGGGATTGTAGCTCGTTTCGTGAGTGAGGTCCCTTTGGAAGGAGGAGAAGAAGCGAGAGACGAGTATTCACGGACTGAGAGAGAGAGAGAGAGAGAGAGAGAGAGAGAGAGAGAGAGAGAGAGAGAGAGATAAAGAAAGAGAATCGAGAGCGAAAGAGAGCGAGAGAATCCTCGGGGCCGAGAGGGAGGCACAAGAGTCAAGTAAACTTAAGAACGGCGGCCTCTTTCATCCCCGAAACTTCAAAAGCTGCAGGAGAGAGCGGCTCACTAGTCGCGCCATATGCTGCCCTTCGAGAGACGGTTTTCTCTCCCTTTTTCCCCCCGTCGTTCGCGATAATAAAATTCTAATCAGTTTTGCCGCGTACCACGGACAGTTTTCGAGAGGCTTGTAGGCGTGACTGCCGCGCATCGATGGGAAAGGATAAGGGACGCGAACGAGACCGTAATCTCTGTCGAGAGACCGGGAAGACAATTAAAAATTCAGGTCAGAAAATGGAGACGGCCCCGGGTCTGTGCCAGGTCGTTGACTCAAACGCGACGTCCAAATCTGCTGTCTAATGCGAGAGAAAATCATGAACGTGACGAAGAAATTATCTTCGAGATAGAAATGGATTCACACGACGACGCGATAAAATTATTTAACCAATAGCGAACTGCCCCCCCTCTCTCTCTCTCTCTCTCTGTGTGTGTGTGTGTGTGTCTCTCTCCTGCCCTCGGGGAACTTCAAACGCGAAATAAAAAATGCCACGCGGAAATATTATCGCGAAAACGTTCGCGTTCGGACGTCGCTTTTATCTCCGTAACCTTTTTTGCCCTCTTCTCTGTACAACACACCCCGCGCCCTCGTGAGAGACGTCGTCGCGACGCCAAGTCGAAATCGATTAAGCCTCTAATGCGCGATGCGCGAGCGGAAGGAAATTAAATTCATAATACGCGGCGCAAATGCAGTTACTGCGGAAAGATTTAAGGGACGCGGTATCCCTTAAGTACACGCCGAAACAGATAATATAAGCTCGCTACGGGGCGCACGGCTTGTTTGCTCTGGGGGCTGTTTGCACACACGATCTCGCGGCTTTCCGCCGGTACGAAACCTCTCTCTCTCTCGGCAGGGGGGCACGGGGGTTGCGAGAGGGGAGGGAAGGACCGCTTCATCCCCGGGTCCGTGCTTGCTTCTCGGCGCGCGGTCGTATTCGATTTTCAGGGCGACCTGTACCTTTCCGCCCCAGGCCTGCCGCCGGTTTTATGCTCCGGCGGAGCCGTCATTTTATATTTTCCGACGGATTATAATCCGCGAGAGAGAAAGAGAGACGCGCGCGTCACTCGAGGGGGAGAAATGTTTTACGACTGTTGGATCGTTAATTACTCGCGATTACTGCGATCCACCGCCCTATTTTTGGGTTCGTGTATTATCCTTCCTCCCTCCTACCGCGTCTCCACCGCGTCTTTCTTTCGTTCTTTATTTTATTTACGCCCGCGATCAAGCGAGAGTCTGTCTCTCGCTCAGCGGAGGGAACCTGCTCGGGTGGTGGAGCCGACGATATTGGTTTCGACGGGGGAAGCCCGAGGAAAATTCGCTTGTTGGCTCATAAGCGCGATTTGCTTACCGAGCTGCATCATCTACATATACCCGATGTAACAAAGCCGAATTATGACGCGCGCGTTTATCCAGCAGGGGCCTCTCATTGAAATTCCGACGTACGTATATCGGACCGATACGTGCCTACTCGCGGCCGTCTAATATACCTGACATAATACAAATAATTCGCTTCGCATAACACACCGTAAACGTACGGGGGTTTTGCATAATTCCACGATCCCCGCAAGACTCGCTCGTTTAGTATCAACGAGGAAGATCGCCGTCGAATTTTCGATAACGTCCGGTCAGACAGCCGACAAATCATTGTGAGCCATCGGGGGGGAGGGGGGGGCAGCGTTTCGAGGTCGAAGGTAGAGATATAGGGAGAGAGAAGGAGGAAGAGAGAAAGGGAGGAACAGAGGGGAAGAGAGAGAGAGAGCTATCCCCAAATTTCACAGCCCGCTACGCCACAAATGAAGCACACTTGGGTGGTGCTCGATTTAGCTCGTATCATCCCGCACCCTCGGCTGAGCTATACGCATCGAGCAAACACACAAGCTACGCATGTAGAACAAACATACACACATACGCACGCGACTCACTGTGTGTACACGACCAATGAAGAGATATATGAGCGTACGCGCGGTGGCTCGAGATCTTCGCACGCCTCGATTGCGTCCGCGAAAAAAAAAAGAGAGAGAGAGAGAGAGAGAGAGAGAGAGAGAGGAGAGCTTACCCCTTGGGAAAAATTACTCTCACCGCACGCGCCATAATTTAGCCTGCTGAGTCTGAAAACGACGCGCGGTGCTAGCTTACAAGATAATTACAGAGCACAGGACTCGCGACACGTCGCCTCCTTCGCCGATCACTCCGGTCGAGTCAAGCGAGATTGATACTCGCTTGACTCGACTGAAAAGAGGAGAAAAAGACGCCGCGGAGCGAGGAGACGAAGGCGGAGAGAGAGCTGCGCCGGGGTTCCGTCGTGCGAAAGCGTGCGGCGTGATACGCCGATACGAGCGGATCTCGCTGGTAACTCGCGATGTGAGAATCCGTTTAAACGTCATTGATATGTTAATTGGCTCGGCGGAGTTCTCACCGCGCTCGTTAATCCCCCATGAAAACGATCTCAGGGGAGAGAGTACGCGAAAAGTACGAGTGGCCACTAGAGCAGAAAGAGACTCCCCCCGCGTACGAGCCACGCGACCCCCTTGGCAGGGCGCACGGCGCGGTAGATAGCGGCCACTCGAAATTTCGTGCCGGCCGAAAGGTAATAGATTAATCGTTCGCGTCGGTGGCCGATGAAAGGGCGGACGGAGAGAAGTGGACGACGGGGGTCGTCAGCTATCCGTGTACGCGACATGGAAAACTCAGCCGTTCATAGGACCGACCGTATGGGCCACTTTTCAACCCTTAAAGCGGCGAACATCTTTCTGTCTCTCTCTCTCTCTCTCTCTCTCCCCCCCCCCCCCCCCTCTCTCTCTCTCTCTCCTCTTCCCACGTGGCACGATGATATCTCTCGCTTAATGTCCCCCAACCTCCCTCGTACTCCTGCCATTCTGCGATATCGCAAAAAATCGTGTCTCCGGTACAAATACAACGGAACGGTAGGTTCGTGTAATCATGTGAACCGGCTGCTTCGTGCTTCTCGTTGGCGGGAGAGAGATGGGAGAAACGTAGAAGCAACTTACACAAGGTGTCCGGGATCTTTTGGGAAGGAAAAATTGTGAAGATTAATCAGATCAAGCTGAGGAGAAAAGTCATGTACCATTTTAAAAAAATCGCAACAGTTATTATGTTATTAACCCTTTAACTGCTACGGTCGAGATAACTGGAGTGTGGAAAAAAATGGCGGCCTTGCTACGATCGAGTTTACTCGATTTGGACTTTCAATGTGTAATACCCCATTCAATTTAGTTTGTAAGAAGCATTTGAATTGAGCGGGCATATAGTGCCATCTCTTATCATTATAAAATATTTTATAATTGTAAAAATAACTCAGCAAAGAGGGTCATACTGGTCATTTAATATCTCAGCAGTTAAAGGGTTAATGATTGAAAATAACCACGTCTAGAAGTTCTCTTAATCGATTACTTGAAAATTTGAATACTTATTTGCAAAATGGTAAAAGACTTTTTTTATTCAGAATGACCTAATTTACAATTATATGACGGTTATTGTGCCCAGCGTCAGGTTCAACATTTAGGGTTCAAAGTTCAATATACTCAAATCTATCGCTGGGCTGGACACAACAGGCGTCATATAATTGCAGATTAGGTCGTTCTGGACAAAAGAAAATCCTTTACCATTTTGCAAATAAGTACGCAAACGTTCAAGTTATCAATTAAAAGAGCTTCTACATGTAATCTCATCTTAGATTATATTTTCAATTATTAATAACTTAATAACTATTGCGATTTTTGCAAAATGGTACTTTTCTTCTCAGTTCGATCTGATTAATCTCCGCAATTTTTTGTTTCCGAAACATCCTGGACACCCTATATATAACGAGATAGTCGGGGTATTAATTTGTTAATCTTCCTTCACCGTCGCCTAATAAATACGTGCGCAAATGATTTCCTCCGTTATCTCGTTTCTCTTCCCCCCCCCTCTCTCTCTCTCACTCTCTCTCTTTGTCTCTTGGAAAGAGACGTAATCTCTCTCCTCCGGGGCTTGAAAATTTCGACCGATACCGGGGGAGATCACTGAGGAAAAGCGTGTTCGCTGAAACTTGGCGAATTATTTACGAAGCGGCGCGTTGTTGCTGCTGCTGCTGCGCGAAGGTGATCGGTCACGATTCCGGGCGGAAATCCTTTTCCAACCCGGCGGCCTGGTAATTATTATTGATACATTCCCGGTAATAATCTCGACGACCCAATTAATACTATCGGCATACCGATAAGCGCAGTTGCGATACACGCAATAATTTATCGCGATAATCCCACAATGACCGTAAACTATCGCTCACGCGTGCATTTTGGTCGGCTTGCACGGTATTTCGTATATACTCCGTGGCCCAACAACGACGCCGATGTATGGCGCGTCGCTGTAATCTGTAATGCTTACAATAGGCCCCGCCCCGGCCCGTTCTTCCGCATTAGAATAAAATTCACTTCGTTGTGTGTAACGAAGCGCTGACAAATGGCTCGTACGTGCCATGCGCGCGCGTTATCTAAAATTACACGCTTCTCCGCGGTCAATCGATACGAAGAAGAAGATTTATCGATCGGAACTGCCGCCAACGATCGACGATCCGCGCGACTCTCGCGCGATATCTGACGAAACAACGAGAGCGTTTGATGAAACAATTCATTAATTACGTTAACGTCGCTGAATTTCAACGCGACTCCGCGCGGGAGTAATCAACCAAGATCTCTAAATGTCACACGCGCGCGATTTATCTCTCGTTCGCAGGTTACGATAGACTGCAGCGCGCGGAAGTGATAAAAATTCCGCCGACTCGCGCGGAAAGATCTCTCAACCACCACGGCCCCGTTGTGCATTTCGAAGCAACTAATCGCTTTTTTTCCCTCCCCGAATGACGCGTTTCCACGCTCGCGACGAATTAACTCGCGACAATGGCGAAGGCACATACGCGATACCGTCGCACACTCGATGGCGGAAAATATGTGTATAGATCGTATCCACGGTCTCTCTCTCTCTCTCTCTCTCTCTCTCTCTCTCTCTCTCTCTCTCTCTCTCTCTCTCTCTCTCTCTCTCTCTCTCTCTCTCTCTCTCTCTCTCTCTCTCTCTCTCTCTCTCTCTCTCTCTCTCTCTCTCTCTCTCTGTCTCCCTCTTGCTCTTTCTCGCCGCTCTCCAGCCAGGCCGATTTCGCCGCCCCGACGGCCACCGTCAGCCCGTTGCCCGGGCGGTTTACCCGGTGTAAGTCGACAACTCACTCCATAAACCCGAGGCGCTCTGTGTACTCTGTACACTGCGGCGAGTTTGCACGAGACGCGCGCGCGCGAGGGAGCAGGATGGGAAGAGAGTAACGGAGAAGCGGCGAAAATAATAGGAGTTGCAAATAAAGCGACTCGGCCGGTCAAGAGGGAGCGAGTCGAAGCGACGACGAGGAATTCTTCAACACGTCGCGCGCCGATCCTGACCGATCGCGTTTACGTCAGCACGCTCGCAAGAATTCGCGATAATCGCGGGAGGTATCGGCGGACAATTGCTGATCATCGCGACGCGCAACATGGGATCCGCGAGTAATCCGTCATCGCGAGCGGTGACGGAGAGCGATACTTCTGCACCGCTAAGCACCGCTGGCTGAACTGATGTGTCTGCTGAAAATTCACGGTACCGATGACAAAGCTGCGCTCGATATAATCCAATAGCGTCTTCTAGCGGGCTGACAAATAGTCGCGCGTTCATATTTCACCGTATTTATCTCGCGCTCGCCCAGCAGCAATCTCCCGAATTGGAATGCGCGGCGACGCAGTCGCCGTGTGCGCGAATAAAAGCGTGATTAAGCGCGAATACCTTTCTTTCTGCTTCCGCCGTGCGTGCGGCGGCAGCGAGCCCGCAGAACTCGTTCGCATTATCGTGACCCGTGTCCGCGACTCGCCGCGAAATTATCGCGTATCTCAAATATCACGCCGGGAGATCTCATTTTTTTCCCCGCCGCTGAATCTCTCCGTACAATGGAGATCAGATGAGCAATTTGATACGCGACGTATCTCGCCGCGCGGTTGGTTCGCGCTCGCGCACATTGGGGTCGCGAATGAAAACAATAAAATAAAAAAGAGAAGAAAAGAAAAGAAAAGAGATGAAGAAAAACGCCGAGACAATCGACTCGGAAGTCGCCGCTGTATTAACTCCGGCGGAATTTTTGCTTCTCCACTCCGCGGAGACATGTACGACCCATTGTAATCGCGGTGCTAGCAGTTACTCTTACCTTTAAGCGAGTAATAAAATTGTCAACGTATCTAGAGAGCGTACACGTGCCTAGCCGTGCCTCGCAGCCACCGCCGGGAAGTTGGCGGAAAATAAAAAACAGAGAGAGAGAGAGAGAGAGAGAGAGAGAGGAAAGAGGGGAGAAAAAAGCGCCGAGGAAGGACGAGATCCGGAGTACAAAAGGACTCAGACAATACAACGCCGCGAAAGCACTTACCGATCCCGATAACAGGCCAGGATTGATCGCGAAACGCACTCTCGGCCGCATGCATCTCGGCGATTTCAACACGCGAAATTACGACCTTTGCATGACTATTACCGTGACGAAAGCCGCGGCGCGGAAATAAAAAAAGGTCGGACTTCACTCCAACGCTGGCGCGTGCGTGCTACTCGCGTTACGTCAGCCGCTGTTTCCAATAATAGCGTGTAAAGGCGACGGCGAAAAAGCGCGTTAAATCCATACGTAATTGTACGCGGACAAAACGTCAAACTGCGCTGGCGGGACTCGGCGCGCTGCTGCTGTCGCCGATCATCCGCCGCCGGAGGAACGCGAGTAGGCCACGCTTGAGTTGGTAACTCGCGAGTAGGACCCGCTTTACGATGGCCCCCCCCCCCGCCGGTACAACGACGACTCGGCGCACACCAAGTGGACTCTACGAATTATTACCGGCTCATCTCATTCTCGCGCCGGGACTCTTCGCGGCTTTCTCCGCGCCTCGACGCGCGATGCGTCCTCCCGCGCTCCCGAATGAAGCGTCGACGAGGTTTACCGGAGTAAACAAGACCGAAGCACACGGGGATGAGGCATCGTGTGCCGCGAACGAATCGCGGTGAGCGAGTGATGAAGAAAGAAGGCCAGAGAGAGAGAGAGAGAGAGAGAGAGAGAGAGAGAGAGAGAGAGAGAGAGAAAGAGAGGGAGAAGAGAGAGAGAGAGAGAGAGAGAAGCAGAAAGAGAGAGGTACAGAGACAGAGAGGCAAGGAGGAATTGCGTGGTCGGACGAGAGAGGTGCACATCGAAGGGAGGTGGTACTTACTCGTCGGTGTGCTACCAGCAACAGGTGCCCGTCAAACAACGTTCAACGTCTCTAGCAAGTCGCCTCTCTCTCTCTCTCTCTCTCTCTCTCTTTCTCTCTCACTCTTCTCTCTTCCCGCCCCGCTCTCTTCCTCTTCTTTCTCCTTCTTCCGCTCGTCGAGCTCGTCTCGCACGCGATTCTCGATAATTGATTCGCTGACGAGACAGGACATACTCCTGTCGGATAGGCGCGCGCGCGCGCGATACAAGACACAGACACACAAAGAGATAGAGAGAAGGGGAGAGAGAGAGAGAGAGAGTGAGAGAGATCCCAGGGAGCTATTCATCGACGTCGTTTCACGCTCGATAAATCTCGATCCCTCATTACTGATAAATAATTTGCCCACGCATCTTCGCGCGATTTAATATCGCGCAATCTTCGAGATTATCTATCTCCTCCCGCGGCGCGAATTACGAAGTCGCCGGGAATAAAATCGACCGCTGCTCACTCAAAACGTTCGAAACACGGACGTTTCGTTACAACGAAACGCGTCTCGGGCCTGTCGCTCCCCTCGACGGACCCCTCGGCCAATTCGGCGCGTGTTCCCGGTCCCTTTAAATATTGTTATTTCTCGCATTCCGCGCGAAACGTCTGCGAACGCCCGCGGTGAAACCGCGCCATCTTTCTCGACGCTTCGACGAGCGTTGATGCGTAAAACGAGAAGTCTGCTCGTTCTTTCTTTCATCTCTCTTTTCCGCGCGTGTACCACGAGCGAGCGGGCTGGCGAACGTCGAAAAACTAGAACCTGTAATTTGAAAACCTCGGGAATGTGTATGTAATTCCGAAGGAATCGACTTCGTAATCTCGCGAAGGATCAGCCACCGGAGAACGTCGGACTTTACGGCGCCTCTTAAAGCGGCGGCTCAGCTTCGTTTTCGAAATGGTCCCACGGTTGTGCGCAGCAACCGGTCATTACAAAGCACGCGGTGCGCAATTAAATAAATGATATGGCGTTTCTCCCCGTCGGGGACGTCGTGACGTGTCAGCGCGAAAACGCCGATATCGGCCCACGAAATTCGACGAAAACCGAAAATCCGGCGTGCCGCACCTTCCAGATGAAAGCGCGGGAACGCCCACCTCGGACTCCGAGAAAAGAGATACCTTCTCGACGCGGTATGATTGAAGAAAAAAGAGAGAAAAAGGAAAAAAATCGCTCGAGGAGAGAGAGAGAGAGAGAGAGAGAGAGAGAGAGAGAGAGAGAGACACTCAAATCAAAATGATCCGGCGCCGTCGTTAAGACGCTCGGCTCACGCTCGACGAATTTACGACGAGAATTATATAATCCGCTCGCTTTTAACTCGCCGGGATCTCTTT